TATATATATATATATATATATATATATATATAGGGGTCGGGTGCAATGTGGGATGGGTGAAGGCCGAGGGCGGGGACCCTGGCGGTCTGATCCTCGGCTACAGAAGCTGGCTATTGGGACGTGGAATGTCACCTCACTGGTGGGGAAGGAGCCTGAGCTGGTGTGTGAGGCTGAGAGGTTCCGGCTAGAAATAGTCGGACTCACCTCTACGCATGGCTCGGGCTCTGGAACCAGTTTCCTTGAGAGGGGCTGGACACTCTTCCACTCTGGAGTTGCCCCTGGTGAGAGGCGCCGAGCAGGCGTACTAATTGCCCCCCAACTTGGTGCCTGTGTATTGGGGTTCCCCCCGGTGAATGAGAGGGTGGCCTCCCTCCGCCTACGTGTGGGGGGACGGGTTCTGACTGTCGTTTGTGCTTATGCACCAAACGGCAGTTCAGATTATCCACCCTTTCTGGAGTCCTTAGAGGGGGTACTGGAAAGTGCACCTTCTGGGGACTCCCTCTTTCTGCTGGGGGACTTCAATGCTCATGTGGGCAATGACAGTGAGACCTGGAGGGGTGTGGTTGGGAGGAACGGCCCCCCCTGATCTGAACCAGAGTGGTGTTCTGTTGTTGGACTTCTGTGCTTGTCATGGATTGTCAATAACGAACACCTTGTTCAAGCATAAGAGTGTCCATATGTGCTCTTGGCACCAGGACACCCTAGGCCGCAGTTCGATGATCGACTTTGTCATCGTCTCATCTGATCTGCGGCCACATGTCTTGGACACTCGGGTGAAGAGAGGGGCGGAGCTGTCAACTGATCACTACCTGGTGGTGAGTTGGCTCCGATGGTGGGGGAGGATGCCGGTCAGACCTGGCAGGCCCAAACGTATTGTGAGGGTTTGCTGGGAACGTCTGGCAGAGTCTCCTGTGAGACGGAGTTTCAACTCCCACCTCCGGGAGAACTTTGAACATGTTCCAAGGGAGGTGGGGGACATTGAGTCTGAGTGGACCATGTTTCGTGCCTCTATTGTCGAGGCGGCTTACCAGAGCTGCGGCCGCAAGGTTGTCGGTGCCTGTCGTGGCGGCAACCCTCGAACCCGATGGTGGACACCGTCGGTGAGGGATGCTGTCAGGCTGAAGAAGGAGTCCTATCGGGCCTTTTTGGCCTGTGGGACCCCGGAAGCAGCTGATGGGTACCGGCAGTCCAAGCGACATGCGGCTCGGGTGGTTGCTGAGGCAAAAACTCGGGCATGGGAGGAGTTCGGAGAGGCCATGGAGAACGACTTCCGCACGGCTTTGAGACGATTCTGGTCCACCATCCGGCGTCTCAGGGGGGGAAAGCGGTATGCCACCAACACTGTTTATAGTGGGAGTGTTGTGCTGCTGACCTCAACTCGGGATGTTGTGGGTCGGTGGGCGGAATACTTTGAAGACCTCCTCAATCCCACCGGCACGTCTTCCACTGAGGAAGTGGAGCCTGGGGACTCTGGGTCGGGCCCTCCAATCTCTGGTGCTGAGGTCACCGAGGTGGTTAAAAAGCTCCTCGGTGGCAGGGCCCCTGGGGTGGATGAGATCCGCCCAGAGTTCCTTAAGGCTCTGGATGTTGTAGGGTTGTGTTGGCTTATGCGACTCTGCAATATTGCGTGGACATCGGGGGAAGTTCCCCTGGATTGGCAGACCGGGGTGGTGGTCCCCCTATTCAAAAAGGGGGACCGTAGAGTGTGTTCCAACTACAGGGGAATCACGCTCTTAAGCCTCCCTGGTAAGGTCTATTCGGGGGTTCTGGAGAGGAGGGTCCGTCGGATAGTCGAACCTCAGATTCAGGAGGAACAGTACGGTTTTCGTCCTGGCCGTGGAACACTGGACCAGCTCTACACTCTCAGCAGGGTCCTGGAGGGTGCGTGGGAGTTTGCCCAACCAGTCTACATGTGCTTTGTGGACTTGGAGAAGGCATTCGACCGCGTCCCTCGGGGGGCCCTGTGGGGGGTACTCTGGGAGTATGGGGTACCAGGCCCTTTGATACAGGCTGTTAGGTCCCTGTATGACCGGTGTCAGAGCCTGGTCCGCATCGCCGGCAGTAAGTCGGGCTTGTTCCCGGTGAGAGTTGGACTCCGCCAAGGTTGCCCTTTGTCACCGATTCTGTTCATAACTTTTATGGACAGAATTTCTAGGCGCAGCCAAGGTGTTGAGAGGATCCGTTTTGGTGGCCTCAGGATTGCATCTCTGCTTTTTGCAGATGATGTGGTCTTATTGGCTTCATCAGATCGTGATCTACAGCTTTCGCTGGAGCGGTTCGCAGCCGAATGCGATGCGGCCGGGATGAAGATCAGTTCCTCCAAATCCGAGGCCATAGTCTTGAGCCGGAAAAGGGTAGAGTGCCCTCTCCGGGTCAGGGAGGAGGTCCTACCCCAAGTGGAGGAGTTCAAGTATCTTGGGGTCTTGTTCACGAATGAGGGAAAAATGGAGCGTGAGATCGATAGGCGGATAGGTGCAGCGTCTGCAGTGAAGCGGGCGCTGTACAGGTCTGTCGTGGTGAAGAGAGAGCTGAGTCAAAAGGCGAAGCTCTCAATTTACCGATCGATCTACGTTCCCACCCTCATCTATGGTCACGAGCTTTGGGTTGTGACCGAAAGAAAGATCTCGGATACAAGCGGCCGAAATGAGTTTTCTCCGCAGGGTGTCTGGGCTCTCCCTTAGAGACAGGGTGAGAAGCTCGATCATCCGGGAGGGACTCGGAGTAGAGCTGCTGCTTCTCCACGTCGAGAGGAGCCAGTTGAGGTGGCTTGGGCATCTGTTTAGGATGCCTTCTGGACGCCTCCCTGGTGAGGTGTTCCGGACACGTCCCACCAGAAGGAGGCCCAGGGGAAGACCCAGGACACGCTGGAGGGACTACGTTTCTCGGCTGGCCTGGGAACGCCTCGGGATTCCCCCGGAAGAGCTGGCCCAAGTGGCTGGGGAGAGGGAAGTCTGGGCCTCCCTACTTAGGCTGCTACCCCCGCGACCCGACCCCGGATAAGCGGAAGAAAATGGATGGATGGATATATATGCCCTGAGATGACTTGTGATGTGACTTGGCGCTATAAAAATAAACTGAATTGAATTGAATAGTGACTTTGGTATGATGTCAAAATCCTAAATATAATAGAGCTTAAAAGCTTAATTTGCCTGGGGAAGATTATGTTTTGTAAATAATAATGCCCTAAAGCATGAAACAGAAAATTAAAAGGAATTTGTCTTCGTCAGCAATTCATAGAAACCAGCTATGTAGCACATACTGTACCATTCACGTTTTCAGTCAGTTGTCATGCAGCTTTGTCAAACTAAAACTACAGATTTACTGCCTTTAATGTTTTTTGTACAATTTTTTATAGTTTTTAAAGACATGCCATTGTTACAAGATGGATTACTGTACAGCAAATTTAATTTCACAAATTAAAATGTCTCTCTTCGATCCAAATGAACATAAATGAAATATTGACACTTTAACCTGTTTTTAAGGTTACCATTACCTGTATATCTTTTGTTGTTGTTGTTGTTGTTGTTGTTGTTGTTGTTGTTGTCGTCTTTGGTGCAAGATATCTTCTCAGCAAATTATCAAATAAAAATGTTTAGTTGCAAACTCAAATAGATTTATCTTCCACTAAAACTTGACTAAGTTGCCAAAGATTTTTGAGCTTATCTCTTTTATTAGTTTGTGTTTCTCAAAGTCTTGCCAGTAAAACACCTTAAGAATATTTGTTGCATGTAGTTTACCTCACAGGTCACAATTTAAGCATGACAATATTTTAAACAAGTGTGCACTTGTCCAAAGTTAAAGCTTATGAAACAGAATATTGCATTAAGTGATATCGCTTTTGCTTTTAATTGCACAGCCTGCAGGATCCATCAGTTTCTGCATTTTTCTCACTTGTGTCAGCAGGTTTTAATTATTGTGAATGTATCTCATGAAAAGGTTAGACCCACCTGTTTTAAAGAAAGGTCACAGCAGGTAAACAATGTCAGCAGTGACAAAATGTATGAACTGAACAATTGGAATAATTACCAGGTAGTTACAAAATGCTACCCTTTCCAAAACTGCATACCTGACTTGCAGATACTGTACAGTGTCCCACCCAGTGTTACATGAAATTCAGCCCCAAGTCAAATGTTTGCAAAGAACTAGTTCCAACAACCTAGAATCTCTCAACTTTTAAAACCTTTAACTCTCCTGCCTTAGGCATATGGCTTAAAACTTTCCATGTCATTTTGTCAGATGCAACTAAAACCTTTCTAGAAAGTTCCATATCCTGGTACTCTGACGCAGGTAACAACTACAGAATTATTAGAATGCTTTCTGGTCTTTTGCCAGATGCAACTAAACCATTTCTAGAAAGTTCCACATATGGTGCTTTAATTGCCACAACTCTCATCGTTCAGTGAACATCTATGGAATAGGATGCTTTCTGTTGTTTCGGTGATGTTTGCCTGACCACAGGAATAGATTTTTTATTTTATGTAGCATTTACTTGGCACCTTTTTGGTAAAATTGTGCCAATGTTCCAAACAACAACATTGAGAACAACTTGTAAATGCATTCACTATTCAGCTGTAAAGTAGCTGTAAACTAATATTGAGTTCAGTATTCAAATGTAGTTTATTGAAAGTACTGACATACTTTTATCACTTGCCAGAAAAAAATAGAATAAACTAGAACAGAAGATTGAAATTTATTTTACTTCTGACCACACCTTAATGACCTCAAAGCCTTTATAGGATACAGATAATCTAGATGGTTTAGAGAAATCGAGCCTATAAAGTCTATTGCAAACAGCAGATCAGTCTTAGAACATATAGTTAAAAAGTTTTATTCATAAGTAGTTTTTTATATAATTTAACTTAGATTTTGCAGCTAAACTCTGCACAATATGTTCTTTGTACATGACCCTATTGCATGAGATCATGTGATTGGACAATACGAATTGATTGATGGGTCTGTAGTCCAATAGAAAACGTAAAATTTCTGATTGGTTGGTGGTAAAAGAGAGGGAGGGGCTTTCTTCATGATTTTTAAGCCCAATGGAAATTTCCACTCGTTCCATTCATTGCTGTTAGCGGACCTGTCGAGCAGCCGAAGTCCCTTCTGTCTTAAAGACAATACAAAGCAATAATTACCGGTAAGTAAGCTCTACATTTAATAAATATTTCAGTAATAAAACGATCGATTTAATTTTAGTTAGTTGTTTAAAGCTAGCTTGTTTACTTTTGGGGACGATATTGTGTTCTTCGGTTTGCTTCACACAGTCACCGCCTGTAAGTTTGATCCGAACTTTGTTTTTTGCTTTGTATTTAATTGGGCCATGCACTATAAATAGTAGTTGGACGTTTATAAAATTAAAATCATTTAACTATATCTTTTGTTAATTGTAGATGAAATTTGATGGGGTTTGTTTCATATAGCATAGAGATGAAGTCGTGTATTCGGTCATAAATCGTGTGAATGTGTCCAATTAAACTAAGTTACAAAGAAATCTATCTGCTAAGGCCCGCTGTCTGTAGCGGCTAGATTCTATCAAATTTCTATGGTATGTGAGATGCCCATGTAGGGCGTTCCGGTGGTGATCACGCCCACTGGCTACACAACTCAAATTACCGTAGCTAAGCGACCAGTGGCTGACGATAAGTCAGGAGGTTCAGCTGTGGTTTGGATAAGCTTTAGTGAACATCAGTGAACATTCATAGAACTGTTGGGTATTCTTGGTAACTTTCAGTGACCCCCCCCCTTCTCTCTCTAGGACCTTCTTGAACACTTGAATCCACATCACTTCTTGACATCTTCTGTCTTCATTTGGAACAAAAAAGTCATCATGTCTCAGCAACAGCTCAGGTATGTTTCATTATTTTTTATTTATTTATTTTCACATTTAGAGAAATTGCATAATGGTTTTTACTTCAGAATTCATTGCTGAAATATTTCCCAGCGTCAAACCAAAAGCTTCTGAAGCTCCTTTTTTAATAATGAAAATAAAAAGTTGGAAATTGTGCAAGAAACGTAAAACTTTATTTCTCTCTCTTTCCTTTCAGCCTCCCAGCCAAGCTCATTAATGGCGGTATCGCTGGCATTGTTGGAGTGACTTGTGTCTTTCCCATTGACTTGGCAAAGACCAGATTGCAGAACCAGAGAAGTGGGCAGCAGGTCTACAAGAGCATGTGAGTATTTATAACGCAGGTCATCATGGATGACTCACGGCACCATTCTCCCAGTCCAGTCTCTGGGCATTTTACCTGCTCTTTGTGTGTGTGAGATCCAGCATTATCTCTTAAATCCACTGTGACTCACGCATAGCTAACCTGATGAACCGCTCATTTTTGTCATTCCTCTTTTCTGAGAAGGTTTTTGAGTGGAGGGATGGAAATTTACAACCAAATCTTCTATTGTTGTATTTGTTTTTGTCCTTGTAGCTACTTGTCTTCCGAGGCAGCTTACAGTGTTGTTTAACATTGTTGCATGTATTTCTTTTGTACTGCCTTGTAGGAATGTGCGATATCACGATATTTATTGTGAAGGGTGGCGATAACAATATATATCGCGATATGTTTTTGGTATAAAACTTCCAATAGGAATAAAAAAAGCATAGGGTGACTTTTTGCCATCATATATTTTGAAGTAAGAAAATTCCACTACTAGGTCCAGAGAGTTTTAAAATAATAAACAAATCAAGTATTAGGCTCCTTTATTGTAGTGCAAAACAGTGCAAAAGATATCAAATGTAGTTTTAGCCATATGTTTTAAGATAAAGAAAATTATGATAACTCTAACAGTTTCCAGTTTTCGCACTTAAGAAATGAACAGAGCAGCATTTCACACTGAAACACTTCACCCTCCAAACCTCTAGTGGGTGCCTCTTTCTGCTTTAACGGAGAGCTGGCACAAAATGAGTCTGTGGCTTTGACCAGAGGGTCTTGTAGTAAAAACACACAACACGGCGTTCTTTTACAGATCAGAGAGCAGGTTTCTCTGAAGCTGACCAACGCTGACTAACTTTCGATGGAAAAAAATAATAATAATACTTTTGACGGAACACAGTGTTTTAAGCATGCGTCCGGATACGGCAAAACTACGGCAAGCCGGCTGTAGTTGGCGTGTAGCTTCGCTACTCAGCTCTTGAAGAAAAGACTTTAACACCACTTGCGCACAGTTTTCAACTAAAAAAAAGTAATGATTAAATCTGACGGGTCTGATTTTTACATCAGATACTACAGATTTCTATCGTAGGCTAAATTTCTATCGTTTCTACAGTGTACCATTTTTTTATATCGCGCATTCCTACTGCCTTGTATTGTAACATTGTTACTACTTGTTTTTAAATGGGTTTTTAAAGGTTTTATATTTTTCTTTCTGTAGGATGGACTGCCTTATTAAAACTGTTCGAGCAGAGGGATACTTTGGCATGTACAGAGGTAAGAGTTGACACATCTATATTTTAGGAGGCAATAGGCTTTCACTTAAAGTTTACCTTAATGAGAAGATTTATATGGAAAGGGTAAGGTATATGTGGATAGACTAAACAGTTCAGTGTTACAAAAGTTATATTTTTTTTATTTTAACTGATGACTTGGTTACCAGTAGTTTTTTTTTAGTTTTTTTTTATTGCATGAGATATTTGATTTACATTAAAATCAAAATTAATCTCTGACAATCTTGTTTTAAATGTAGTGTCATGCATTCAGTTATTTTTGAAAAAAATAAAAAATAGTACTTTTTGTTGGTAAAAATTGAAAATCTGCACAAAAAAAAAAAATGGGAGGCCGTTAGTCGAGGTCTCTGCCTTTTTATGAGGAATGCTGTTGTTTGCATCTGTGTTTTTCATATTACAGACTTGGGTCCCCCTGGGATATTGAAGGCTAGCCGATAAGGCGCAGCCACGCTGGAGGCAAATCATTTAATGGTTCTTACTATATTGCTCTATTTAAAACTACTGTATAGGCACAAGTCTTTGTTTTGCCATTTGTTTGTTCTGTAATTTGACTTCCTATCAGTAACTTTGTCTCCTGTCAAGTCACTTTGTTGTGAACTGCCTTTTTTTTTTTTTTCCTCTCTGTCTGCCTTTTGTCTTTGTCTCTCTGGGCTGTAATGTGTACTTACAGACTTTGGCTGATCTTGCAGATGTCTGTAATTTTGCTCAAAGTCTGCTCACATTCTATAGTCTGTCTTCACTAAGATTTCTTTATTCCTCCATTTTTTTTTTTTCCGTCATTAACAACCTGCAGCCTTTGAATAGATACGATTCCTTCCCCTTTCTCCCTCAAGTCAGCCTTCTTTACAAATTATAGACTTCATAAACCTAATCCTCACTTGGTGTCATTTTTCCATTTTATCTATTTCTTGTATCACGTCTTAAAATACTTTTTTAAAAGTAATTTTTCTTTAAGAAGCTTTTTTCTGAAGCTTCTTTTTAGTTAAACATTTGTTTTGTCTTTGTGATAAAACTATACAACTGATAACTTTCTTTCTGATGTTATGTATAATATAGTGTCAGGAAACGTTTTTTTGTTCTGAAAATTAAATTTCATTATGGCTTCAAGTGCTAACTGTATCGTTTGTTTTCTCAGGTGCCGCAGTAAACCTGACTCTGGTTACCCCTGAGAAGGCCATCAAGCTGGCTGCTAATGACTTCTTCCGCCATCACCTCTCCAAGAATGGGTGAGCACAGTTGTGTAAAATAATACTTTTTAATATGCACGGTTCGTGGGTTTACTTGTTTTCTGTTAACAGAAAGGGGTTGACAGTTTTCAAAGAAATGCTGGCAGGTTGCGGTGCAGGCATGTGCCAAGTTATTATCACTACCCCTATGGAAATGCTAAAGATACAGCTACAGGATGCAGGACGGCTGGGTAAGAATACAAACTTCTGATGAGCATATTTCTGTGGTTGGCTATTATAAATCTGTATTTAATATGCTTTGTTTTCTTTCTCCTCAAAGCGGTTCAACAACAAAAAACAGTCGTGGTGTCTCCCACAAAGCTTGTTGTCACAAATGGTCTTCTCGCCCGCTCCTACAACTCTGGCACCGTGATGTCGACACCGAGAGTTGTGTCAGCCACACAAATCGCAAAGCAGCTTCTCCACACCCAGGGCATCCAGGGTCTCTACAAAGGTCTGGGAGCAACGCTGATGAGGTAAATCTTGTTTTTTTGTTATGAAGAAAATCTGAACTTGCCATTGTAGTTGCTCTGTATAATATCATTGTTATAACAATAACCCTTTTGCTTCATTTCTTCCAGAGATGTTCCCTTTTCTGTTGTTTACTTCCCATTGTTTGCTAACTTGAACCGCCTGGGCAAACCTAGTCCTGAGGACCAGTCTCCCTTCTACTGGGCATTCCTCTCAGGCTGTGCTGCTGGATCTATTGCTGCTGTTGCTGTTAACCCCTGTGATGGGAGGGGCCCCCCCCCCCCCCCCCCCCATTTTGTCATTCTGCATTTTTAATAGCATCACAGTTAACAAGTGTTTTGATTTGCCCTTCCAGTGGTGAAGACCAGGCTGCAGTCTCTAAACAAAGGGGCAAGTGAGGAGAGTTATAATGGAGTTCTGGATTGCGTAAGGTACGACAGACATTTGTCAGTTTGTTAAATACTCGCATGCATGTGAGTTAATAAACCAATATTTCTGTCTCAACAGTAAAATAATGAGGAAAGAGGGGGCCACTGCCTTCCTGAAAGGTGCTGGCTGCAGAGCTCTGGTCATCGCACCTCTGTTTGGAATTGCACAGGTCATGTATTTTGTTGGTGTGGGTGAATATATTCTGGACAACTTCCCTCTCACCTTCATGTCTGTGTGAGTCCAAATCATCTGGCTGAAAATCTGCAGGAGCTGATGGACACCTGGCAGCTGCATCCAATCAGTTTACAAGTGCCAAAATAAAGACTGAGTCAAAGTTTGACTTTATTTGTATGGTCCAACAGCTGTGATGCACTTGAACACTTTTCCAAACTTCTCAAGTCGGCGGAGGCCGCTGTTTGCACTTAAAGCTGTCGGCCTTCTTTGGGTGGGGACTCGGAAAAGTTCATCTTTGTCCTCAAACAGTCGATTTAAGATTCCCTCTGTGAGGGCAGGAGCTCATTCAAAGACCCATTTAGTATTTTTTTCATACTTTCTGTGATACATATATCCCAGGTTGCCATTACTGTTCCATTCTGTACAGCCTTCAATAGTTGTAATGGGTAAATGTATGAGGCCTAGTTTACACAATTGAAAAGGGATTTTTAAATGTGTGTGTGTGTGTGTGTGTGTGTGTTTATATACTTTTAGACAATATCTTGTAGATGTTTTTTGACTGATCTCGAGCCTTCTGACTGGTATGGGACCACACGGCTTACCAGACCATCATGTGTGTTTGTGTGTAGTCCTGTTTGTCTGCAAACTGGACTGTTTCCATCTTTTCTGCAAAAACTTGACATCAGTTTTGCACATTGTGTGTTTGTCTACATAACCTGACTTGAAATATTTATATGTGCGTACTTGGTTTCAGTCACAAGATAATTTCTGGTTTATGCTTTAAATGGAGCAGGTTTATCTGTTTTCTAAGAAGCATTTGTATTTTGACCTAAAATGAACATTACTGATACTGTGAAAAAAAGACTGTTACAATATTGTTTGTTGGAGGGGTTGGCATTTGTATATTTAATGATTAAATTTGCATATACAGTAAATCTTTTGTTTTTATGATGGTTATTTGATGCTTTTGAATTGGTAAATCTTGTAGTTATTACAGCAGCACTTTATGTACAAAGATACATTTTACTGTTCGGAACATTTAAAACGTGGTATTGTTGAAGTCACCTTATCTACGGTAAATTAAGGAGCAATGACCGCTCCAACACGACTCAAAACTAAAGCGCTTTCACCTCGACTCTTCTAAAGTTTAAAATTATGTGACCAAGTTTATCTGGCTTTTGTCAAAATCGGCTCCATTTTCTAAAGCTGACCAATATGTTTTATCTACATAAATATGAATATTCTGGTTTAAATAAGTTATTTTAAATGGCACTAGAACTAAAGTATAACTTCTAGTACCGCTCTGATTTTATTTGTTTGAAAATCATTCTGCTTTCTGGGATCCCACAAGTCAATCCTTATTTGTTTCCAGATTATCTGGATTATACCCTGATCCCAGTCTGCTCTCATAATTGCAGATGACAGACAAAACCTAATCTTTAAAACATTTTCCAACTCAACTGTACATTTGTTTCTTAGTGGAAAACAAAATGTCCTTCATGTCAACTCCGACAAGAAAGACGTTTCTATTTGAAAATATCCATATTCCCTACTTTGGCAATATGAATTCCAATTAAGTTTATAAAACACTAAGTCACTGCAGAGGTCCTCTCGGGGCACTGAACAGAAACATTTGTATATATCAAGGTTTTTATTGTCATTTGTAGCACACGTACATGAGGTGGAACAAAATTGTGAACACACATGTATATATCTATAGATATAATTTAACACAGGAACAGACTGCTTTGAATTTAATTCCGTCACAGAACTCGTCTTGTGCAAGCAGGAAAGCGACAGTGAAATGGAAAAACTCCCCCATGAGGAAGAAACCTTTAGCAGAACCAGGCTCAGGACAAGCGGCCATCTGCTTCGACCGGCTGGGTTTGAGAGGAACAGAATGGCAGATCGAGAATCGCATGTTAAAATGGAAATGGTATCAAATGAAAACTATTCAATTTTAATAATTCATAGGAAATTTGGTCAAATTGTCCTCTAGTAGTCTGAGCCTATGGCAGCATAACAAGCCAACCCTATCTAAAGGATTTATCAAAAAGGAAAGTCTTAATCCCAGTCTTGAAACTGGACAATGTGTCAGCCTCACGGACAGAAACTGGAAGTTGGTTCTGCAAGAGAGAAGCCCAAAAGATCTTCCTCCCATTCTGCTTTTGGAAACTAGGAACCGCGAGTCAGCCTGCAGTCTGAGAGCGAAGTGCTCAGTTATTAAAATATGGAACAATACGATTTTGATTATAATCTGGAGCTAGGTTGTTGAGAGCTTTGTAGGTTAGAAGTAAGATTTTGAATTCAATTCTGGACTTGACAGGGAGCCAGTGGAGAGAAGCTAAAACTGGAGATATATCTCCTATTAACTCCAGTTAAGACTCTGGCAACAGCATTTTGGATTAACTGAAGATTTTTAAAGAAGTATTTGGACACCCGGATAATAAACCATTGCAATAGTCCAGTACTAGTACAATAATAGTACTATAGTAAAAACTCCCAACAGTCTGTTAAATGTGCACATTTCTAACCTAATATAAATTACAAAAACGTTTTAACCCTAGAAGTAGATTTAAATAACTATTGACAGGAAAAGTGCAGTCAGTAATATGAGACCTTTATAAAAGACCTCTTAGAAAATGGATGGATGGGGTGGCATCTGTGAGAAGCAATCACACTGAGCCCACCACCAAGCCACGGGCTTCATGAGCTTTATCGCTAAGGTGCTGGTGTCGCAAACCCAAAGTTCTCCACAGATATTCTTAAAGTTGCTTTGTTACCATAATGCAGGTGGTCATAATTTTTTGGCAAGTGGGTGTATGCATGGAAGTATTAGTTTCTAAGCTTAGAAAGTTAAAACTGACTGCAGTGTTCAAACTAAAAACCTGCGCAGGGCGCCAACACGTTCAGGAAACACCCCGACCACAAAATATACGTTGGTGCACTTCCCCATTCTCTTTAGATGCTGAGAGAGAAGTTGGCTGACGATACAAAAAACAGGAAACAGGTGATAAAAGCACCCAGTATTTATTTATTGTTAACAGTATGACACAAACTATATTATCCTATATTTTGCATCGTATTGGCACACCAAGAAAATGTACATCCACAGTAATTCACAGAAAATGCAGACTAACTCACTGTTAAAACATGCTCGAGATGAACTCGGTGCAGCGCACTGCCGACCTCTGACAAATTTGGAAATTTACAAAAGGGGACGTTCGTCATCAGACCGTCCTACCCGTCAGGTTAGCGTTCACGTCTACACATTATTGTGCTTTACAATAAAAACGTTTCAGTGGAGCAAGAAGCAGCACGCTCGTTATGCACGTGTTCAAATGACAAGAAATGGTCAAAATATTCAGTAGTTGACTAAAAAAAGGTCAAGTAGGCACATCATAGAAATCCACTCTGCAAAGGTAGGCTAGTCTTCAAAACACTTCAACGCACACAAAAAAATGACAAGAATTAGACCAAAAAGAGCAAAAGAATGCGTCAACGGCTACGGCTTGAACTAAGTGTCCGTATTTACAGCAGTGCTTCTTCACGCCTCGCTCCGAGGGGATTTGACAGTGTAGCATTTCATCCTCTGCACAGCAGCTGTAGCGTATTAAGAGCTAGGAATGTCACAGAGTTGTGCTAGAAGCAGAGCTTTATTCATGAAAAAGACGGAGGGGTAAATCAGTGTTTCAGTGCTGGTGGAGTCGAGACGGCGGTATGAAGATACCGATCCAGAGTACCGTGTTGAACGTGGTGGTCCCCGCCTAATCAGTCTCGTCGACGAGGAATGCCATTGAAATGTAACTTTGGCTTTGCCCTTCTTGTAAAGTTAGATATTGATTCTGGAGGGCTGTGAGTGTGTAGGGGTTTGGTTGTTGCAGGGTGGCGTGGCGGGGTTGGGGGGTGGGGGACTGCACTCTCTATATAACCTCCCTGGTGTTCCTTATAGCGCAACACAGGACCATACTGAAGATCATCCCAAGGATCTGAAAACAGATGATTGGTGACAACTTAAAGAAGTAACACAGCAACATATAAAACCTACGTATTATCAGCAACTTAAGGATAAATGTTAAGTCGTGTAAAAATGTTTGGGGTTTAACCAGTTAAAGATCGATGTTTTGGAAATTCTCACCATGACTCCAGCAATACCGATCCCTATGTACCCAATGATGTGCAGCTTTTCCTCAAAGAAGTCCTGTATTGCAGAGTAGCAGTCCTATAAACACAAAAACAACATTTATTTTTACAATGCAACACAAGAAATTAATAAATAAAGCAGGTGCTATGCTGCCACCATGTGGTAATAAAGTGTCACAGCAGGCTGGCAGGGTTTACCGGGGTGTCTTCTGGAACATCTGCGCACATCTTTTGAAATGCATCTGAAGTGGGAACTCCACAACAGTTCAGCTGCGAATAAGGAAAGGCATAAATAAGTTTTTTTTTTTTTTTTTTTTAAAGTGTACATTTGTTGGTGAGCAAAAGTTAAATTGGACTTACAGTTTTGTGGTAAAGCGTTGCTATTACGGTGCCATTTAGACTGTCGTCGTCAGCGGAGTTGTTATAAAACTTTTGGACTTCTTCAGTAATCTGTTGTGAATAAAATAATAAAGAATAAGATTGTGTTTATAACTCAGTCGACTCGTAGCTACCAGATCCTGTCGATGATCAATAACTTTACCTGTTCCCTGTTCATGAATCCAAACACGCCGGCGGTGATCTCAGCTCCAAAGATGATCAGGAGGCATGCAAAGAACTGAAGAGCCAGACAAAAGACAGGCAGATCTTCAAGCAAGGGCTGGTGTTAGTTCAATAACTAGCTTTTGATCAGCTATTTTTTTAAAGAATGTATTTAAAACTCATTGACAGCTTATTTAAATTTACATATAAATTCAATTATTTACAATGTCCACAATCAAAACGTCACCATAGTAGAACGGTGTCATTACAGAGTTTTTAATTTGTTGAACCCACCGACGCAAGAAGACACTGAGACTCCCTCACAGCCCCGAAACACCCGAAGAACCCTACGACCATCATCAACCCTCCGGCACCCAGAAGGATGTACACAGCTGTAGAGAGACAAACAGCTGGATCATTCTGTGTTACTTTGTCAAAGCAAACATGAGAAAATACACAGCTGTATTTGATGAATTATGAGTTCAGAAAACCTAATGAGACATGGAAGAATAAAAGTGCAGTTCACAGCTTTTTAATGAAGAGGGCAGCAAGAACCAAAGAGCCATCATGGCTTCAGGGAAGGAGATTTAAAAAAAGACGTCTGTTTGTTGTGTTGGAATAACAGGAGTGTAGGTGGGAACTTTTTGTGGCCTCCCACGGCTCACAATCTGATTTTCAACCTGCTCCATGTGAATTTTATAACTTTCTACCAAGCTGAATGCATCTTTAACTAAACATATCTGTGGTTTGTTTTTTTATGTGTGAATAGTGTGTGCTGTAACGTGTTATAATTGTTTATCAAAAGCCATACTGGTTACAGAGAAGACATTAGAAGGACAGTTTTTTAAAATGACAAACTATCTGGAGTTGTGCAGGAAACTAAATATTAAATGTTTTCCTCCTCTGAACACCTATAAGCTTGAAATCCTGCCCTGCAATGACAACATGTCTGCAGCTTGTTTAGAGTCGGTGCTGAATTATAATTAAATGAAAACTGAAGCTAATGTAGCAAGAAAATCTGCAGACAAACAAGGTTTCCAGTGCGCTCTTTTGATGCATTAGTGTGGTTTCCAGTTATAGACTCCCATCATTCTTGCTCCTGCACAGTGGAGCAGACGCCATCTGTCTCATAAAATGGCAAATCAAATTTGGAAGGCTCGATTGCTGCAGAACGTGATCATCTCGGCTCCCTTCAAGTCAGCCTGACGTCACCTCCCCTGCCTGCTCCCTGCCTTCACTACCGAGTCCTTTGCATCGTAACCGCACACCGGACTGGTCCCTGAGCGCCGTGCTAAGAGCCTAATCGGTGACATCGGTAGAAACCACGGCAGCAGCTTAATTAGTCCTCATGGGCCCAATGCAAGCTGTTGTTTTCCTGTTGATGAACAAAGGGACGTTAAAGATGAAGTGAACAGACGTCTGACCTGGAAGGAACTAAAAGTGAGAGATGCAAAACCTCAAGGCAAATTGTCTTGTTCTGCAATGGAAAATACAACGAGTCAAGAACGTTCCACTGTTTATAAAAAGTCATAACTGAGTCTAACAGCTTTATTATTCCATCAGTCCCTCGCTTTCATTCTTCCTCTTGGCAAATCTAAAGACAGCGCAGACAACTGTCACCCTGTGGCTCTTCAAAACCAGTATCAGTTAGAAACACACATTAGTGTATGTAAACATCTGGATTATCTCTTAGTTGAACCCTCTGCCTATCTTATACACACATAAAATGGCTGTTTACACACCGGAGAGGTGACAGCATGGAAAGTGAATCACCCACAGGGACTGCTGCCATTTTGTCTTATTATGGTATCACCGTGTTAAGTTTCTTTACCAGAGCTGTGCGAGGACACCAAACATTCGCTTACTGAGTTTAAGATGTTTGTTTTGTGAGCGCTCCTCTGCAGGATCATGCGAATAACAAGACTTATGCACCCCTTCATTAAAGAGCTGCAGTCAGCAGGGCTGCTAGAGATGGTTTTTTTTTATGTCTTGAATCAAGAAAAGTAGATCAAATTAAATTTCATCTTAGCATGTGTTTATCTGAAAATGCTGTAACCAAATTTAAAGGTTCTCTTCCATCATTTTCCTCTGTCTTGCAGAGTAAAACATCAGAAAGCAGTGACTTAGATCATCTACTTGATAAATTTACAACTGCTTTGCAAACTTCACTCGATAAAGCTGCTCCACTGAAAAAGAAAGTAATCAATCAGAGGAGATTAGCTCCTTGGTTCAATTATGAGTTACGTAGGCCTACTTTAAAACAGGCATCTAGAAAGCTGGAAAGAAAATGGTGATCCACTAACTTTGAAGAATTTTACATATCTTGGACAGATAGTCTCCTCTTTAAAGCTAGAACTTTATATTATTCATCTTTAATTGATGAGGATAAAAATAATCCCAGGTTCCTTTTCAGTAAGGGACAAATTTCAAACCAACTTTCCTACTATCGCCTCTGGTTCTGTGTCAGATGAGATAACTTTCAAAATGTCACTGGAACCTGATTTATGTTTGGTCTGTTTTTGTCCTGTTCAGCTCTCTGAATTGTCATAAATAATAGCTTCATCCAAACCATCCACATCTGCTAGATTCTATCCCAACCAAGCTATTTAAAGAGGTATTTCCCTTAATTAATACCCACATCTTGGATCTGCTTAATTTGTCTCTAATGAACGTTTATGTACCACCGTGCTTTAAGATTGCAGTAACTATTTCTTTAATTAAGAAACATAACCTTGACTCAGGAATCCTAGCCAATTATAGACCTATATCTAATCTAACGTTCATCTAAAAAAAATCCAGAGAAAATAGTTGCAGGTCAGTTGAGTGAACATCTGCAAAGAAATAATCTGTTTGAAGAGTTTCAGTCAGGGTTTAGAGCTCACCACAGCACTGAAAGTGAACTGGTGAAAGTTACTAATGATATTCTCATGGCCCCAGACAATGGACTTGTGTCTATACTGGTCCTATTAGACCTCAGTGCTGCATTTGATACAGTTGATCAGTGCCCTGAGATTACTTCTGTTTTGCCTTAGCATTATATAAATAAACTGAAATTAAATTAAATTGAATAATACATGTATTGCTGCGTGGATTTACTGACAATTTTGATTGGCGAGATCCTCCAGAGTTGAGAAAGAAGCTATTCTTGTGTGGCGACCACAACAACAAGATTTAGAAGAAACAGGGACATTGTTTTAGTATAAAATGTATCCTTGTAACGTTGCAGCATGGGGACAGCCACATCCCAGTCATCATTACATTCGCAGTGCCACACAAGCCTACATGCACATAGTGAGCAAAGGCTGAACATCTCTATTTAAAAAGAAAATACGCAGACAGACTATACAAGACTTTGTTGCCCCCACAGATTCAACGCAACAAACTGATTTTTCCATCTAATTCTACATTAGCTGCTTCGGTTAGCACAACAATTAAGTTGCCACCTGCTCGCCAGCTATGTACACGGTTGAAACTTTTCCTTATGTTTTTTTAATTTTATGCAAAGTCAGTTTGCAATACTTCAGGGACAGACTCATCACTTCCTGAGCTCTCAGCAAAGCAGAAGCTTAGTTTGCCTTTTGGCTCAAAGTTAAAACTAAATTTAGTGCCACGTGTTTCTTTATTCAAAACTGAAATTAAAAGATAAAACACAGCAGGTGGAAAGGAGTGCAAGGCTCAGTAACGGGGAGTATTGCATGTTATTTATTGTCTTTATCTCATTAAACAGACAAATCCCAGGATATTTGAATGTCAAATTAAACTGAGCAGAAATTGTCTTAACCACTTATACTTTGTAACTGTTAAAAAAAACAAAAACATTTTATTACTGCACACGTTTGATGCATGTTTAACTTAAAAGTGCTGTCATGTTTTAAGGTTGTCTTTCCGAGAAGATTGAAGGAGACTTTACTGAAGCCTCTGACACACCCATCCTGCTCGTCACGTCCTGAGAGAGAGAAGCCGTTCCATGACGGCACAGCGTGGAGCTGATGAAGTGAAGTCACCGTTTTAGGTCACGGTTCGAACGGGAGCAACGAGAACAGGCTTCGTTCTGATCATTCACTCCCACACAGAGCAGCAAATACAAGGCCTGTTGTGTTGAGCGCCCAACACTGAGGGCTGTTTGTCCTCTCTACTGTACGTTTTAATAATCTGAGGTTTGTTTTAGTGAGAGTTTCACACACAAAAATCTCTTCATTCGGTTCGAAAAAGATACCTGAGTATGAGCAAAGAGACAGAACTGCCATTCACCATTAAAAGTCTCATTTTAGACCATTTGTACGTTTGATCAAACAGTTCACGGAGTTCGCTCGGCGTTATTCCCCTCTGCTTCTGTTTGCAAAATACCATCGGTCATGGAACAATGACTTCTGCTATTATATATATATATATATATATATATATATATATATATATGAACACAGTTGTTGGGGCATTACACTCGTTTATCAACTTTTTCTAATATTCCTATCTTGATTAATAAAAGGGAATATGTGTATTTTGGATGTAAAGTGGATTTATGTCTTTATGTAACACACAGTGATTTAAAGAAGTGAAACAGCCAATGAGCCATAAAGTCTTGTGGCTAAAAGTTATTTTTACAATTTATCTTATTACAATGAAGGCAGGCGATCTTCAACATAACAGAAATCAGGCTACATAAGTTTTACATCAGTTGTAAATATATTAAACAGCCTTTAAATTGTGGATAGTTTTAACAAAAAAAAATAAAAAAATAAAATAAAAACTATAGGTAACATTTAGCTTATGTTTATATTGTCATAATAATTGAATCACCACAAACCAAACCTACCACACATTTACACTTGGAAAAATTCAACGAGTATTCCTTAAAATAAAGAATATCACCTGCTGCCTTGCAGGCCAAAGTTTTAAACAAAGAACTTGCACCCTCTGTTAGCACTTAGCATGTATGTTTGGGATTACTCTCAGCTACTACCACACCAAATTGCTGTCCTATGCATGAAAACCTGACTATATTATAGCCATATTTATGTTCAATACATTTATTAGCTGTAATGACCATCTTGGATTTGTCTGACTCTAAAAGTTAACCAGTTGAAGTTTTACATCCAATGAATGATTTCAGAGAGTTTCAATATATTCTGGTTATTGGTTCTTGTGATATATTGATAACAGACAGTGTTGACGCCAACAGTTATTGAGTTTTAAATGAAATTCTTGTGAAATTGATTAGAGCTCAAAATATATTTTGGGAATGACTCTTGGCTACTAACACACCAAATTCCAGCTCAGAGGCTGTAAAATGACCAGAGTTGTAAAGATTTTTGTGTTTCCTACAGTTGATAGGTGACCATGTTGAGCAAGACTGACAGTCAGTACAATCCCATGAACTTTCTGAGAGTTTCATTAAAAACCTGCTCACTGGTTCGTGAGATATTCTGCTCCTCACAAACCCACTCCTGTCGTTCACGTCAGCGAGTGATAAGTTTTCCAAACTAGCAATGCAGAAGTTGCTGCGTGTCAGTCCAGCTCCACGAGTCGGCTTCACGACGACTGACAGGCTTTGAGGGGGCTGTACTTTCTGAGCAGCTGCTGCCTGGTACAAAAATAGCATCCTGTTCAGCACGACTCCACCATTGAATACAGAAGTTAAGGAACGTGCACCAAACCTACATTTGTGGGTTGCCAGTGCTTAATTTGAGCCGGAGCAGGATCTGGGAACTCTCTTATTTTGACAGGTTGCGTTCCGGTAACTTGGCTCATAACTCTAATAAAGTTATGAACAAATATAACTGTCTCGAATGTATAAAACTTATATTGGATATGTAAACTGAAAATATTTACATAAACACTAATTTTAAACACAACAGCCACCTACGAGCATATGACCTGCCTCTTCAAGTAGAATTTCCTATACATAAATAAAAGTTATATAAATAATATAAATAAATAAACGTAATTGAAATTTCTGCGGGTAGCACAACCGGTAGAGCTGCTGCCTCTCAGCGAGCAGGTCCCCGGTTCAAATCCTGATCCGGAGGCCTTTCTGGGTGGAGTCTGCATGTTCTGTCCATGCATGCGTGGGTTTTCTCCGTGTGTGAGTGAGAGAGTGAATGGTTGTTTGTCTCGTTTGTCTCTATGTGGCCCTGTGATGGACTTGCAACCTGTCCAGGGTGTACCCCGCCTCTCGCACAGTGATTGCTGGACATGGGCACCGGCAACCCCCGTGACCCAAAATAGAAGATGCGGGTAAAAGATAATGGATGGACGGATGGAAATTTACGCGTCTACCCTTAAAAAAATATCCGCCCCTAAAACAGAGGTGGGGGTGAGTGCCCAGCTAACCAGGCAGTCGTATGTGAGCAGGAGCCCACAGGCAGCCGCCATGAACGCCTCCTCCATCAGGTATACTCTGATGGAGGAGGCGCCTAGAGGTTTCACATGTGGAGTCGGACAACAACGAGCAGGGATAGTGTCAGGCTCGGAACTGTCAAGTAAGTGTTGTTGGTGGTGGTGGTGTGTGTGGGTGTGTGTGTGTGTGTGGGGGGGGGAGATGCTTGACAGAAGCATAGATGTTTAACAACACGTTAAATACACCAAAATGCAGGAAATCGCATCTACTTTATTCAAATTTTTCTGGGGGAGGAACCCCAGACACCCCACCATCCCCACCTATTACTTGCATTCTGGCATCTATCAGTTTACAAATGAAGCCCTGTGGGTTGCTAAATGCTAAATATCCAAAAGTTGAAACTTCTCTGCATCTCCTGTCAGGCCAGAAACTTTAAAAGTTAAAGCCAGAGTCTAGGAGGCACATCTCAGACCTCTTATTTTAGCACTGCACATCTTTGCACGCGTGATAAAAAAATCATTACTTAAAGTCTGAGACGTTTATTCCAGGGACACTTTATTAGTGAGGATCGCCAGACATTACATAGATGTGAGGTTATGGGGGTTTAAATCTTGTGACGTACCTATGAAGAAGGTGTCGGGGGCTCCATCGCCTGTCAGGAGGTCCACTGTGCTTGGGTCAAACCTCAGCCATAATCCCACCGCCAGCACCAACAAGCCCGACAGCTGAGGATTGATTTACAACCAGTATCAGCATCAGATATCAGTGAACTAATCATTTATAGACAGTAAACATTCAGAATATTGTTCATATATATATATATATATATATAT